AGATGGTAATCACTTTGTGATAAATGTGGACTATAAGGTGGATGCATAAGAACTTGCTGGTAATCACTTGGTGATAGATCTGGACTATAAGGTGGATGCATAACTCACAAATATTATGCAACTGACAAATAAATAAATAATATTATTTAAATAATATTTAATTAATTTTTGTCATATATTAAAAGAGTATAACTAATAAAAGGTAAATAATAAAATTGGATTATATTAAATAAATGGTCTTAAATTAGTGGCCTAATTAATCAATCATTTATTGACTAACTATTTTATCCAAAATCAAAACAATAATTCTGGAAAAAGGAAAAAATGTATTACAAATAGTTACAAATGAGGACATATGCTATATAATAGCTGATCAATCAATCACTCGAGTACAAGATGGATTAACGAAAATTTGAACATTTGTTAAGGAAAATATGTTTTGTCAACAATAACAAAATCGCAACAAATAAAGTCACAGATACACAACATTTCAATATACACATTTTCATTTTCCATAATAATTCCATAATAGATGAAAACATTAATAAGTGTTGCAAAACTGTTTGAAAGGCAACAAAGCTGTCCGTTTTGCTGTGAGAATCACACGATACCTGTAAGTGAGTGTAGATACTAGAAGGAAAACCCATTCGTTATCGCATCTGTCATCTGCTCATTGCGTCATAGAGCGTTTGGCTTCTAGTATGGCCAATGAATAAATGACTGCGGATAGAATACAATGACGATTACGTTAACTGACTAGAATAGCCCCCAAGCAACAGAAATCATTCGTTGGAAAATTAGAATGGCTACGAGAAGACAAAAACCACCAAAGCTCACGGCACACAGCTATGTTTACTTGATTATTTATGAGCCACATACTTTAGTACGGAAGGCTTGAATTGGATAATTTGTTGAGCTTCATTTTATTATGTGGCCAGTAAATTAATTAACATCAAGCCACTTAAATTTGAAGTTAATTAAAATATGGTGCGAGAAAGTACATGTTCACAATTCATCCGTATTTTCCGAGAATAGACGCGTACGAGAACAATGACAGCTTACAATTTGACGAAGTATTTTTTCACCTTCCGGTTTTTAATTTCTACATAATTAGATTATTCAAATGCTAAATGGGAATTACATTTTGACAGTTCTTTTTATATTTTGAAATATGCTAAAGTATGGATTTTTGGTTATTGTATTTAAGAAATAAAAGCAAAAAATATTTGACATGGGATTTACAAAACGTTTCAGGCAAAACTTAGGCACTTATGTTTTTCCTATAGAAGGAAAATTTCAGATAAACACGACACAATACTTATCTAAATAATCTTTCTAAAGTTTAAAGTTGACCCGTACACCAAAATCTATCAATGTAAAACCCATCACTTACTAAGTACGACAATGGCGAATAAAAAAATGATTTTTGAGAAAAATTGGATTTATTAAGAATACAATCATCGTCAGAAATGATATATTCATTCTAACACTGTTCTACATTTCAAATTTTTTTCAAAAACAATTTATCTTTCCATCGATCAACATTACTTCACTGACTTGAACCTCAATAATTGCTTCATGATTGAGGTCAAAACTTATTCCTTGGAGTTCATTAGTTCGGGAAAAAGGTAGTAGTAATTTTAAATGATAAACAGAAGTTAAGAATTCATAAAGCATGAGACATAATCAACCGAATTTAATCATTTAAAAATGCTTTAAATAGCACCCTAAAAATTGTTTAGGTCAAGCTCTGAGATTTTATATTGTAACGAACCAAATGCCAAAAGTATTATCTTTTCGATTTATCTTTTACAATTCGTCAGAAACATATATTCCCTACAGAGTCTCCAAAGTCTTTCCTACTACATTGCAAATACATTGGCATACTTAACACACCCATTTCAAATGCTTTGTTTAGAGGGTACAAAGTAGCACTATTTTTTCTCGGCAAACTTATGGACTTACATGCATCAGTAGCTTAAAATGTTCAAGCAGTAGCAAACTCGAATATTTATATCAATCATTTTAAGTGCCCCAACATTTGCAAAATGCTAGTAGACATTCGAGTTCCTTATTACTTTTATATAAAATAGATGAAACTGCTGCAAGTACATACGATTTACGATGACGATTCTTTGAGTGAAACGTTGGACCCAGAAGTGGTTTGTGCTATGGCATTTCCAAAAGAATTTTCAATTGGTGAATCAAAACTAGCACACAACCCGTCAAGAGACAGCAAAACATTGAACATCAATTATATGAATGTTTGGAAACATTTAAAAAGAGCGGGCTTGGTTCGATGTTTGGGTATTACACACAAAGGAATTTGATTCATAAGATTACCATAAGTAAAATGTTGCTGATAATTAGAGAAGATAAAAGATTATTCCCGTTATGTTTCTATAAGGTACAAATACTTCTATATCATGAACTTATGTTACTTATTTTTGATTGTAGAGAGATGTCTTGAACCCAGAAATGATCCCAACATGTAATCGTTAACTGCTTTCTAGAGCCAAGAAAAAAGTCATATTGATACGTATAAACCCAATATATAAAGTATTTATCCTTCCATTAAGAAGTACTAGTAAGTATTATTATATTATCAATAATTAGTTACAACGGATTTAGCAGCTTTGAATATATTTTGATAGAAAAGTATATAGATGCATAATATTACTGAGGACAATTATTGCAATTTTTTTATTGTTAATTTTTTCATTCATGAGGTTGGAGTTTCATTTGTTATATCTCACCCTCACCCACTACAGAACCTACTGCAGGGAATTAACTTAATAAAATCAGTTTATTTTTTTATGAGTCATTAGTTGATTCTTATATGTACATAGTAAATCTTAGACGCAATTAAAATAGAATTAAAATATATCATAAACTATTCAGGAGAAACCATTCTCGAAATATATTCGGGCCGAAGTAGGCGTATTGTCGATAATTTCATTAAAATAAGTTGTTTGAAAATAGAATTACAAGTTCTTTTTATAAATTTCTCATACTATAGTGAATGTGAATTATATTTCTCCTGACATTGACTGTTACACCATAATGTGGTATTACTTAAAGTAAATAAGAATTACAAATATGTAAAGTATAATGTATATAAGAATTATAATTTTATTTTTTGAATGAAACGTTAATGGTTTTTATATGAATATCAATAACAGATCAAGCAGATCCAATACATCATACAGCCGATTTAATAGAGAAAAACACTCAACAATAAAAAATTAAATATTAAGAAAATAACTAAAGCTATTTATTATTCCTATTATATTCCTTTCAAGTTCTTTTAAGAAGACTTTTAGGTCTTCTAGTTTCGTTGGAGCTTTCTAATAAACATATTTTTAATTATTATATATTTTTGTATGTTGTATATTATAGATCATTTTGTATGTTGTTAAATAACATATGTAATACATATTATTTGTTTTGAGAAACGCTGTTGAGACGCTACAAAATCGAACTATTCTCGAAGTGCATCATTACGTCTGATGAAATATTGATCATATTCGCAAATATCCTTAGCAGTGATCAAAAACAACTTTAAAATTTCGATTGATAACAAACAAAGTTTTGTTGAATATTGGGTGGCATTGAAAGAGAATTGTCTATAACGATTCTCGATTCTCGATTCTGATGCAACGATTAATTCGTTATTCTACTACTCACAACAGAACCGCTTAATTGAAATGATCGAGGAAAAGCAATCAGAATACAAAAATTTCTGATGAATGGGATATAGACATAAATTTAAAGTCAGAAAATATGAATTAAATAATCAAATATGGAAAATTATACTCAAAAAATTATTAAAAGAGCTTTATTATGACACTTTTGGAAATAAATAATATTGAATAAGTACATATAGTATAGTGAAATGTACTGTTGAAATTGAGGTACTTCTTACTATGAAATAATTTAATATAAATAGATTCAATTTGATCACCAATAATTCCCCATCTTTATCAAAAAGAGTATTCATATGTAATATTTACAAAAATTAAATCCATTTATTAATAAGGAATTAATTTACGAATTGTAATCTAAAAAGTTGAAAATTTTGTAATTATAATTGATATTAAAATAGCTACGAAAAAGAGCTATACAATTATATATCTTGCATATATAATTAGAAAAATTATAACTATTATATTTATATGTGCGTAATTAATATATGGATATCTATATGTTGATATTAAAATAAAATCGATCTATAAAATATAAAATGTAGTCTACTTGGTATATTTAAACTTTATTTGTAGGACAATTCAATTTGGTGAAGACTTGCTAAAAATTTAAAAAATTCTGTAGAGCTAAGGAATCTATGGCAAATGAATATAAAGTAAATGTACCCAAAATTTAACTTATTTACTTAGAGAATAGAATTAGGTTAGAAAAACTGAATGTGACCCTTGCGGAAAAGAGATGTAAAAATTTCCCTCCAAGAACTTTTGTTTGATCTTTGAGTAATTTACATTATTAATATATATGTTATAGTGAGTCTTAATGTAAAAATTACTTTTAATATATAATTAAAACAAAATCAATTTTTATAAAATCGATTTAATCTGTTCAAAATGGTCCTCTACTGATTCAGTACTTACTCAGTGACTACAGTATAATCACGTCAAATCTGTGTTTTGGATCGCTGGCAAGAATACCCTTTAGTGAAAGCTTAAGCCTGGCTTAAGCTATTTGAAGCAACCGTTTTGAAAGCTACAGTAGTTTTTTGAAACCGAAGTTGTTTTTTCGAATACATACCTTGTACCTTGTTTAGTATTAATATTGACCCTTCCCTTTAAGGAATCACATTCAGCTTTTATGCTATTTAATTAGGAAATTTTATATAAACATTAAAAAAGAATACTTTGTACTCTTTTATAAACAAAATTTTTATTTAAATGGGAAATAAAAAAATTCTTAAAATTCTTATTATATATTAAAATATCAATAATAACCAAACAAAAATTGATGAAACTCACCGATTGTCATGATGGCGCTGGTGTAACCAATCAATAATGTCCTGCAATTTGGAGTGACGCTCCTCATCGCTATCCTCATCGTCGGCATTATTGTCATAACCGTTTAGATCATCATCGTTAATCATAAAGGTGGGATAGATTTTACCATTGGACATCTTCAACGCACTTCAACACTTCAGCACTTCTCACAGCTTTTAACACACACCACTCCACTTAGTTTGCTTCTGGCAAACACATACATACACCGAAATATATCTCAGATATATAAACAACTTATCTCTTATCACTTGGGCAAGCACATATTCTAGAGCGTATGACCGCACTTTTATGACATCATATCGAAAGCACTTTCAACACACTTGACACTTCTTCTATATACAATAACGAGTATGCGAGTATACGAGTATACGAGTATACGAGCAACAAACGATAACGAAAACACAAACAAAAACAAAAACAAGGAACACAACAATAACAATAACAATATAGCGAGTAAAGAAAGATGCGAGACGAAAGACGTGACACTGACGGCGAGTAAACCGAATTGTATAAACGCGATTAGGTACAATTAAATGATTAATTTAATTAAATTAAATTCTAATTCAAAAAATCCTTAAGTGCACAATTTTTGAAGAAAATTTCGAAAAACAAGAAAATAAATGGAAAAATTTAAATAAAAATTTCGAAAACTTTTGGTTCTTCACCAACCAAATTCGTTGCTAAGAGTTCTGACGCGCGTGTGTCTTGCTTTTGTCCAACCGAAACTGAAAATCTCGCATTTTTTGAAAGCAAGTTTTCAAAACTGAAAACTGCTTGGAAAGAAAATGGAAAATGGAAAATGCGGAATGAAAACACCGAACTACGACAAAGTGTCTCGGCGAAGCACAGATAAATTAGAAGGAAAACCATTTGTGAGTGTTGTTGCCTCCGTTTCCATTTCTTCTATTTTTTTATGGATTTTCTTTTTTTTTTTTGTGTTTGGTTTTATTTTTATTTTTATTTTTTTAATATCAATTTTCTTTTTATTTTCATTTTGACGAAAAGCTGAAGCAGCACAATTTTGTGGAAAACACTTCTAGGTTGTTTGTTGGGAATATAAATATAAAAATATATTTAACAAAAAAAAAAAAAATAAATTTGGTTTATGCTGTTGTAAGTCTTAAAATAACACTAAATAAACATATATAAATAAATAGAGTAAATAATAATATACAATATGAGCTTTTAGATTTTAGTGTTCGATTCAGTTCCGTACGGCGCTACAAGGGGTCGCCCATGCGATTTGCTGGAAGTTGAAATTGACTTACTTTGTATTTTCGGTCGGCGTATTCAAGGTTAATAGACGAGCAAGGTCGTTCCGTGAGACCCGTAAATATCTTTGATTTTTACAAAAGAAATCTTTCACAATATTTTTATATCAGACAATGATTTTTTTTTAGCAAATAATGAAACGTGTGGAATAAATTGAGAAGTCTGCTATATAAACACTATTTCACATAATATAATATTTAAAAAAATGAGTTATTAATAAATTTTTTTTAGTAAATGTTAATTTTTTTTTGTTTAATTTTTAAAATTAACACAAAACATTACCAGAAATATTTTAAATATCACTTATTTTAAATTTAATTAAAATTATTTTTAATATTTTAAAACAAAATTTATTTAAATATTGTGTATTTAAAAATTTTATGTTATGCAAAATATTAAATAAGACTTTAAATATTTTTAAAAATTCTAATATATATTTTTAAAACTTCTTTACACATTAATCTTTGCTTTTATTTTTAAAATGAATACAAAACAACACCAGAAATATTTTAAATATCACTTACTTTGAAATTGTTTTTAAAATTTAAAAAAAATTTTAATAAAATTATTTTTAAAATTTTAAAATAAAATTTAATAAAATATTGTGTATTTAAAAAGGTTTATATTATGCAAAATATTTAATAAGATTTTAAGTATTTTCGAAAATTCTTTATTTTCTTAAAACTTCTAAAATTAAAAAAAAATTTCACATTAATTTTTGGCAAAAATATTTTACGCAAAATTATTTTCAAAATTTAAAAAAAATTATAATCAGTATTGTGTCAAAAAAAAACTCTATATAATACTTTATAATAAAATATTTTATAATAATAAATTGAGAAATCTGCTATATAAACACTATTATACATAATATAACATTTTAAAAAATGAAATCGATATTTTTTAATAAATACTAATTTATTTATTGCCAAAAATATTTTGAACATTATTTATCTTTTTAAAATTTAAAAAAAAAATCTACTTAAATATTCTGTGTCTTGAAATTGTATATAACACAAAATAAAATTTAGCACTACATTCATATATAATATTTAATAAAATTCTAAATATTTTTGAAACATATTAAAGTTTTTTTAAAACTTCTAAAATTAAAAAAAATTATGCATTCAGTTTTGTTTTAATTTTTAAAACTAACACAAAGCAATGACAGAAATATTTTAATATATCTCTTACTTTTAAATTATTTTTAAAATTTGAAAAAAAAATTTATTTAAGTATTGTAGGTATATCTAAAAATTTAAAAAAAGATAAAATTTAATACTAAATTATTTTATAATATTTAATAAAATTCTGAATATTTTTTAAAAAAATTAGTATTTGTTTTTAAACTTCTATCAGAGATGTCAATAATATAAGAAACTAAAATTTTTTAAAATCAATTATAACGAAATTTTTTAGGTTTTGAAATTTAAATAGGTTTATAGGATTGATAGGATATTGATAACCTATTTTCTGGTTACAAACAGAAAAACAAAATATATACTTAGGAGCTATGAAAGCTGTGTGTATCTCGTCCAAGGCAGCTCGCGGATGTAGACGAATTGTCATTTTATTAGGCAATATTATTTTATCAGAGATAACTCTGATTTGACTTACAGTCATGAGAGTACACATACACATAAAATTTTGCGATTAGTAAAAAAGATTTAATAACATTTCTTCAACACCAAGACGTCAGGAACAACATTGCTTACATTCGCCAAATCCATAACCTTTAAGGTAATTCATAAAATTATTTCTTCATTCTTTCAACTTCACTTTTTTACCTACCAAATTTAAAGTATTTATAATCAATTTAACTCCCATGAAACACTGAACTATACCACAATATGCAGCTAGACTAAGCCTACCCCAACATGGTTTCTATACATTATGTTCGCCGATACTCCAGGAAGAGATACAATACATTTATTGTGTATATAACCAGCCTTAAGCATAAATGATTTTGATTTCTCAACTCACTTCAGAACTTAGAATTCAACGAAATACTTGCGTTTATAAACGCAACCGGCTATTATTTTGTCTGCACAAGTGACCTAAATAAAATTAGATATAACCCCTAATATTGTCAATATTGTTTGTTACAAAACGAGATTGGAAAAAATGCTTTGACAAATGACTCGAACACATGCAAAAATGTATTAACCATAAAGGAGAATACTTCGAGAACAAACTAAATTAGTTTTCAAAGACAACTTAGTATTTTCTCATTATTTGGCTCAAAATAAAATTAGTGACCCTCATATTGTGCTCTTATAATCTATGCCCGAAATAAAAACATAGGCTTGAAATATTGAATAGAAGATATAGTGAGACTATAATTTCTGTGTATTTAGGTTCTTGCTTTTTTACCACTATCCAACTGGAAATCGTTGGTGTATATATCTATATCCCTCACGATATAAACAGCTCTATTTCCCATATTTTCTTTCCAAGAAAATAGAAAGAAAATTATTATCTAAGTGTTTGGACCATTCTTTGACCCAAAGATGATTGTTTGTTATAGTTTGTAGTGATGCTCTAACCTTTAAAATTTGATCCTGTAATATATAGCTCAAGCAACTAATATATATATCTTATGGCTACTTAACGCCACAAGTGTTTCTTAAAAGAGGGTCTTTCAATATCACAAGCATCTCCAAAAAAACAAAAAATGTCATATGATGATTTTTATTCCACTAATTATAACCAAAAGAATATATTTTTCAAATAAGCTTAAAACATTTACTTTTTAATTCTAATCAGTGCTTTATAAAAAATATTAATACATATATATATATCTTTAAAGTAATTAAAAATTTTTACCACAGAATATTATATATGCATAAATTGATTAAGATTTTAGAATCAATTTAAAAATGTGTACTGATCTTATGACTCGTCTAATCTAAATTTAATATTTTAATTTAGATGAAATTATTATAAAGTTTTTGTGACGCAAGATTAGAAAAATTTTATTAAGTAATCCGAATTTCGATATTTGCCAAAATTTTAAGTATCAAAAATTATTTGACGTAATCCCAATAAATATCAATATTTTTGAATTAAACACACTTAATTTTTATTTATACTTGATCTACTCAGTACAAATTTATTTAAAACTGTAAGGTTTTAATATATTAATATGTATGTGTTAGCATTTATATATATCGGGTGTTTCTTTAGCTGCATGAGATCTTAAAGTGATAATACAAAACAGAAATATTCTTGAATTTATTTTTATAATAATCTGTTAGATAATTTAATTGGATTTATTTTTTGTATATGATTTCCGGCATATATCCGCCGTGACTGCCAGTTACATGGTCCATTTGACCAGTCAAATTTATGACTATTTATTGCAATAAATGTGACCGTAACATTGGATTCTAATGCGTCAAGAGTTACTAGTACGTTTGTTGTCGGCATAAGCCAATGACTTAGCATAGAACCATCGCCATAAAAAGTAGTCGAGAAGCGTTAAATCGAACGAACGATTTAGCCAGTGTCCACGCAGCTAAAAAGACACCCTTTAATATTTAATATCTTCTTATTATTAGATTACTTTTGGTTATTACTTGAAACTAAATAAATTTATATATGCATATATATCCACCTGAGGTCAGAGTGGCAGTCTGATCACTAAAGTTCACTTGAGCATAAATAAAAAACCCTTTGTAGATAAATATAACTTAATAAAAATGAGTTTAATTACTACTCAGAAGAACACAAAAAAATTTTTACTGCCATTGCCTGAGATAACTATATAGTATTTATGTAATTATGTTACTTAAACGAATTTATTTATATTTGCTTTCATCCGCCAATCTTTCGTCACAGAAGGTTGAATTATTGTAAAAGGTTGAAACGCTTGTGTCGTCCACAAATAGACTTTTTATGCTCTCTTCGGTGAGTGACAAACATACTATATGCAGGACATAAAACATTAGTCCAATTATGTTTTCTTGAGATGCACATGCTTCCTCTACATGGAAGCAGATTGTAGAAAAGTGTCTTAAACCAAGAAATGATCCCAACAATATAGAACAATTTAATCATTAACTGCTTTCTAGAATCAAGAAAAAAAGTCATCTTGATACGTATAAACCCAATTTATAAAGTATTTATCCTTCCATTAAGAAGTACTAGTAAGTATTATTATATTATTAAGAATTAGTTACAACGGATTTAGCAGCTTTGAATATATTTTGATAGAAAAGTATATA